AGTAGTTCGGGGGTGATGTGCGATACAAGCACACAATAGCAGTAGTATTGAAATAATCCTTGCACGTTACAATATAATATAGCGCGCTTAGCAATATAATAATCTTCTAAGTCCAAATGCTTTTGGAACAGGAGGTGAGCGACAGAATCGCTCGGCCTCAAGGCAAAAGTATTATTTCGCAAGCCCCCAAATGTTCTACAAGAACGTATAACCCTCAAAATACGTCGTGCGCAACACACAAGTGTCCACAATGTTTCACAATACACTTAACACGACTTAAAGCCTTGCGCTCCAAGCAGAAAACACTTCAAAACCCATTCGTAGATCCACAGGGTTCTAACCTATGCGATCCAGAGATACACAAACACAGAAAACACGTCCACAAGCCACAGGGTTTGAACCTATGCCACTTGGGAATAAACCAAAAAAACCTCAGAGATTACTGACAAGCCAAAGGGTTCGAACCTCTGCCACTTGCAATAACTCGGAATTCACAAACAAGTTCCAAAAACACAAATGCACATTCAAGTTATCACAATACAATATTCTCTAAGTAGAGCACAATCAATTACTGTACTTTACTTGAACGAATCAAGCACGCTCGAGCAAGGCGTGCCTCGCGAGCTCTCAAAGTGTTCAAAATAATTCTAAGTTCAATAATACTCTCTCGCTCGAAGCTTCAAATAAAATCCTTTCATCGTACACTAAGCGCGCTGCTTCGTAGTACAACTGCGGGGGTCTGAAAACTTGCTAACTACCTGTAACTACCGCTCTTATATTTACCGTTAACTATATGAAATGTAAATACTGAAAATAGACAACGCTCCATCTCGGACTCCCTTCCCTTGCGTGCCGCGTCAGCCGTAGTGATAGTAATCATTATTTTACTCAGCACTCCGTGTCGGCGTGCGTGCTACCGCTGTTTTCTCCACTTGGCAAGGCCTAGCCTCATCATGCCATGTGGCATGTGTCTTCTTATTGGCTCCACGGATTTAATTACAGTGCCACGCAACTTATCTAGTGAGCGAGTTTTATTTTATTGGTTGCCGTGCAACCATTTCTAGTTTAATATTTCATATGGGCAGCGGGTTTTATTTCTCTCCGGCCGAGAACTCCTTAGAGTATTCGGACTTGTTGATTCTTCGTTCAGGATGACGTTTCTCGGTGATTGCCGGATCAGCAGGGTTCGTGTGTCATAGATCAATGTAGCGTGAAGCACCTTCAATATATTATCTTCAGTGAATTTAATTGAGTGATACACTGCAGAGGAGGGCACAGTGTGTGTGTATAAGCACTGAGACTGCACACTTAAATGACACAAGTGTGCCGTTCTAAGTCTAAGCCATGCGCTCTACTCATATTATTTTTATTATAGTGCTTTCTGCCTCAGTGTGTAGCGCTCTATGCCTTACATGCACTCTAATATTATTCACGGGGCACACACACATTTGCATTCCTAGAATTCGCAAAATTACATGTGTGAACACGTTGCACGCATGTCAATGCCCTAGATGATCGGTCCTCATTCGAGGACCAACTCCCTAACTACCCCGATTCCGAAGATTCGGATGTCGATCACTTACAATGGGTCACAGAAAATTGGGATAAGGATGAAGATGATGACAACGATGATCGTGACAATATTTCATCATTCTACTCCGAATCCAAATATTCCTCTTCAGACTACGATGGAGGGAGTTCTGATGACTCATTCGGGACGAACAAGTCTTAGGGAGGGGGTAATGTTACGGTTTATTCATTTCTTTTTCCTTTTCTTCATTTTACTCAGCCTAATTACTCATGTGCGATTGCAACGGACGCATTCTCACAGTACTATTATTAGCTTACCAAACGTGTATTTAAGTAGAGCCTCAGCTGGTCTAAACCCCAGCTTCGGCTAAGGTTTAATCTACCCAACTCGAACTCCGTTCTTCGGGACTACTTGCTCACAATCCGCTTTGACATCGCCTTTGACTTACTAGAGTATCTACCACAGAAGTGCGAGTGGTGATCCTAGTCCGATCTAAGTCGATTATTAGTTGGTTGTCAACACAAGCCTCAGGCTCAAGCCCGGGCTTCCAATACCAGCTAATACCTGAAACAATTGGTGGGGAACACATCATTTCTCATTGTTTGGGATTAATTTTAGAAGTCCGATCGGACTATAGCTCCCAAAATTGACACGATGGAAGTTGCTGAGATCGCTCTGCTGCTTAGGTATGTCAGTTTTCATTCGCTGTCTATTTCCTATGTCTTCATGTGTTATATTCCTGCTACGTTAGTAGTAGGTCTTATAGAGGGATGGTGGTAGCCGAGTTTTGAGTTTAACCCAAAGTCTGATGTCATAAAAATTTCTATTTGTGAAAGAAACTCACAGCCCAGCGCTTCAAAATTTCTGTTTAAGTCAGAATTTCAGGGTGGCACAGTCACTGCTTGTCACTGTTTACATGTGACCCTCTGTTACTATCATGCTTTCTGCGGCGTTGTTTGGCCGATCTTGCCAAGGATTCTGACTGAACTCTGAGAGAAAATGCGAGCTGGTGGCGGCAGAATGCCGCCACCGAGCGAGTCTTTTTCTCTCAGCAGCAGAAGCTACCACCGCTGAGTGAATCATTTCAAGGGGTAGTACTCTCTCATTCATACTATTTTTGAATACTAACTATTATTAGTGGGAGTCAGAGTGACCGATTATCGATGATTATGAGTCGTAATCATCATCATAATCGCTCTGGCTCTGACCATGTACCGATTACAGGTAACGATTACATTGACCCAAGAATTATGTAAAAGGGAGGATCCATAATCGTATAAGTGTCTCTGGAGTCGCTTATACGATTATGGTTGATTACGATTATTCCCATGATTATGGATCTTATAATCATTGCCATAATCGTTTTCATAATTGTCCCATAATTGTTTACTCTGACTCCCACTATTGATTATGACTTCGAGCTTTTTCCACAAGCCAAGATTTGAATAACCCTTGGGCCTTGATTCAATCTCTCCTGCAGGAATTATAGCCAGTAAACCTTGCAGGATCAATCAATTATACATAAACTTGGTTTATTATAAACTATCATAATTATATAAAGAACAAGGCTTCCAGAGGGGTCAACGTAGCAGGCTTTGCCCCTGATGTGGGCCTTGCAGGCGTTATACCTACTTTTGATCGGTAGGACACCCTGCAAATTGATTAATAACTTCATTTCATGTTCTCCCTAGTGTTGCCATGACTCAGCTAGACTCGACTTGGCTAGGCTTATACCGACTTTGGTAATTCTAATTAGTCGAGTCAGCTCAAGCTGCCGTGAGTCGGCTTGAGTCCTGACTCAAACCAAATAAGGAAATCAGAAGTGCAAAAGATGCTATTGCTCGATGACGGCCAACATTCTTTCTGAAATCAATACCTAACTTGGTTGGTGAGTGAATACAACCTTTGTGAGGGTCAAGTTTGCCTTATATTTGATGCATTAATCTAATTGAGCAATATTAATAAATTCTACAGAATCTTCACATGAGAGGACTGGGGAAAGAGCCAGAGCAGCCAATTGAGATGACTTTGTTGTAGTTGTAGCAAAGACTTGGAAACTGCAACAAAGAAAGTCTTAGAAGCCTTGAATGGACCTAAATTACTCAGATATTGGTATAGCTGAATCATTGAAACATGACTTGGTTAGACAAGCCTCCAAGCATCAGAGAGTCTCAAGACTAGTCAATAAGTGTAAAAAAGCACTTACCTGGCAATATTTGCTGCACTATTTAAGGTTTTCTACTTGGTAACTACTTCGAAGCCTGTTTGAAATTTTTAGCTTAGAGTAGGGCTGCGCACCGTACCATATACGGTATACGGCCATAAAGCCAATGTCCCAGATGGTCATGGAACTATCCGTATACTGTGCCATATGATCAGTTTGAATGCCTTGTTGGCGTCGGCACGGGTACCTTACAGCCGTCTACGATCATTGACGACCATGCGCCTGAGTATGAAATTGATTTGCTCATAAAGAAGTTAGTCAGATGCCTTTAAGATTGCCAAAAATCTGTAAAATGCACCTGGTTTTATAATCAGCTATGCCACATTGAGCAGGGCTAGAGATATCGAAGACTTAAAATAAAGTCATGTATATTGTCTTGAATGTGTATGAAAAATTGACAAGACAGCTAAAAGAGCAAGTTAATAAAGCTACGAAATTGAATGATGGCTATTTTGTGTCATAGACTTACCCTAAAAAGGACTCTTGGCTGAGTCAAAAGTAAGATTAAGCAATAAGCCGTATTACGATGTTGTACAGCTGTCTGTGAGAGGTCTTGATGGTGATGGAACAACTGTACACCGTACCGTACAAATGGTCATTGGGGTGGGTTCGGCTTTGGTTCGTATTCCGTATAACGGTTACCGAAAACCGTATAATACAGTGACAGCATGCAGCCCTAGCTTAGAGTTGAGGACAGGTAAACAGTCGGCAATAACAATTAGCCTTGGAGGACACCAAATACATTCAAAAGCATCAGATTATGATTTCAATTAAATACTACGCTGAAAGATGTGAAAATATGAACAGACACTGCATTTTCTGCTACTTCTACGGCAGCATGACACGTCAGAATACCTGCGTATAAGAGATGTACTCAACTGGACACCAAGGGATTAAGCATGTCTAAGACTCTGTTGACATTTGACCGATAAGGCCATGAAATCATTATGTGTTCCACGTGTTCCGAACTGGAACAGCTGCCTGCTTCCTTCCTTTTGAACACGTTGTCACTTTTTCTTCTGAACACCTCGCATCTTTCTCTACCTCAAGTGTCCTCCGGTGAACATGTCTGTGGCTGATGGATCACAGGGCTTGGTTGTAGCTTGGTCCTAAGGTATGTTTTTTCAACCATCGCCTGTTGATCCCGCTCTGATGTCTTGCTCAGATTCTGATGATTCTTCATCACCAGCCACATGACCGAGGTTTACACCAACACGTCACCACCGACACCTCCCACGAGGACCTCCTAGGCATCGTGGACAAGATGAGGCACGGCATCGAGAAGCCTTTCGGCGGGATGTCCTGGGCTTACCCAGCGCCATCAATGTGTGGCTTTTTGCGCAACTGGAAGGAAACGCAACAGCCCCTCAAGTCTTGACTACCAACGCATCCGTCTTTGGTGATGTCTTGAACATTGACTATGTTGAGTGCTCTGTTCGTTCGATCTGGCAGCCTGTGAGTACCACATTCAATGCTACATAATCTTGGTATGCTAATCCCTTATGCCATAGGGTGCCATTTACAGACCTTTTCATGAACCATCCATCTATTCCCTCACTCTCGCTGTTCACCTACCGACTCCAACTAGTGTGAGGCTTCTCCCACACATCACAAGCCCTCCCATCATCCTGGATACCTACACTGGTGAAGATTATGAGATCGAAGCCCCCGACTGGGTTTCACACCTCGATTCCACTCTGCGTCACTTCTGGCAGCCCCACGCCCACATCGTGGAACTGGTGGCGAGTCTCTCGCTTACCGCTGACAATGTTCATGGTGCTCGTCACCTTGTCCGATGGTGCACGGCACTGTCAGTATGTAGCCTACCTCATTTTATTCTATTCTATTTGCTAATCTACTATTAGTGTGTCTCGTATGCGCATACCATTGCATTTGGGACTTCTTCCCATCATCATACTGTTGCGACCAATTCTCGTACTCGTGCGCGTCGTTTCATGGACATCGGATATCTCTCACGTTCACATGGCGCTGTAGAAGATGGGTCACCTATTCGAAGCAATTAGAAGTGAGCACTGGAGGGAGGTGTTGATGTGGGGCACAATAGTCTATGCCCAGTGTCCCCCGGTGGGCCATGCTGTGTAATACTACCTACCTTCCTACCTACTAGAGTAGCCACTTTGCTACTTATTCAATACTTTTGTTATTTCCAAGGGGGCTTACTACCAGTGAAAAGTATACCTTGTTTGGGCAGGCGTGTGAATGAACCATGGACCTGTCCTGTCTCTGACACATCACATATTTACCAGATACTCCTTGAGCTCATTTCGCCTGGGTTCAACAATGAAATTCTTTCTCTTTGTTTGCTTTGTTGATATCTACTATGCCGCCCAAGCTGGTATCGTGCCCTTGCTCCACTTGCAACGGGAAGGAAGTACCACCTCAGATGAAGAAGAACCATGCTGCCGCCCTCCTTTGTGCAGCATCTCGGAGACTGTCCACTCCTCGTTTGCCATTACAAGCACATACGCAACGTGCCACCACCAATGTGGCCTCACGATCGCCTCTTTTTCCCATCTCCAATGTCCCAGTTCAAGACCCAAGGACTGGCAGCACCAGATTTCGCATATATACAGTCAAACGTCCGCAAGACGTTCATGATCCTGCTGAGCCTCACAGTCTTGACAGAGCAGAGACAGAGACTCAAAGAATTCCAGACTCTCAGCAAGGTGGGTACTCTGCACCTTTCTATTGTGTTTTTCTTACTGAGTTCACATTGTTCAGCCCCAGATTTTGAGTTCACCTTTGATTTTCCTCCGCATCTCCCATCTGCCCCCGATACTGAGGCTGGAGCAGGTACCACGACCAACATGCCCACTGCAAGTTGTGAGGATACAACGGCCACCTTGAAGGATTTATGCACCCCTTCAAGTTCCTCTGACCTTCAACATGCCTCAGAGACCCAGCTTGAAGCTGAAGAACGCGGGCGAGTCATCATGGAACAGGCAGTTGCAAGGCTGAATCTCGATGATCCTATCACCAGTGACGATTGGGATGACCCAGAGCCTGAACTTGATGGAGATATCGAAGACTCAGCAGTGCCACTCGAGTCACCTACCACTACCCCCATTCCCGCTATCCCTATCGTCGCCACATCTACTGAACGCTGTGCTGCTGGGACATCCCATACTGATCCTCTGCACCTCGAAAACACCCTGGATCCCTTCTATCAATCACCAGCAGACCTAGCACGGGACATTCGTTCACGTTCTTCCAATCCGATTCACCAACATTCGGCGATATGACTTCTTTATGTTCTGATTTCTTGGCTACACACTCATTTCCATCTGCCCTTTCTGGCATGTACTGCCATGTTGGTGACCTGCTTTCACATTATCACACTGGTGTCCTCTACAATGGATACGTCGGAGGCCTACCATACATTGCCTTCAATCACCAACTATCTCGGCATTGAACCCATGTTTCAGGTACTGCCTGTCTGTCCTGAATGCATGGAGGTGTACCCCAGTTCGACGAAGCCTGATGAAACCTGCATCCGTTGTCACTCGCCCATCTTCAAGTACACCCAGAGTCGTGATTCCCAGTCAGCTACCATGGGCAGTGAGAAGAGCAGAGCACGACTTCAGTTCCCAACAAAATCAATTGAGGCACAGCTTCATGACATTATTGTGGTACAGGGAATGGAGGATATTCTCGAGGGATGGAGAGGCAAACCCCGACAACCAGGAGAATATATTGATAACTTTGACGGGGCCATTTGCCAGGAGCTAAAAGGACAAGACGGGCGACGATTCTTTGAAAATCCTCTTCCGATGGGTAATACAGAGTTGCAGATCAGCCTTACTCTGGGTGTCGATTGGTAATATTATCCTCTGCGATAATTTAACAAGCATACTGAGTGTCTATCTACTCACAGGTTTTCATATCTTCAGAGTCTGATTGCACCATCCCACTCCTCTGGACCCATGTCGTTTAACATCATCAACCTACCAGATTGGTTACGGTATGTGTTCGCTCCCCATGTGAATCAATCTTCTCATGTCATGAGACTCGTGATACAGGTATTGCACTTCAAATCTTCTTCTTTCTGGAATAACCCCTGGTCCCAAGGAGCAGAGTGGTGACCAAATCCAATGCTTTATGTGGGTTTTTGTGAATGAGCTCATTCGCCTTTACAAGGAGGGTTTTGTGGTTCGGACAGAGAAATATCCTGAAGGATGACGTGTTCGGGTCGTTCTTGTCGGTGTCATCTGTGACAAACCGGCAGCACATAAACTTGGTGGCTTTGGGTCGCATAGCCATACCAATTTCTGTCATCATTGCTGGATCTCTTTATCTGAAAAACAAAGCATGGCAGCCTTTCAGAGTGACAGTAAGCTCTATGATAATTACCATATTGACTGGGCATTGATTGCTTTTTGGCAGCCTGTAAACCACGCTCACATGAGGAGCAGTTCAAGTTAATGAAGGAGTACTTAGCCCTTCAAAATGAAACTCAGCGGAAGGCCTTTGTTAGTACATATGCGACTCGGTGGTGTGAGCTAGCACGACTCCCTTATTTTGATGTGTGTCACATGATTGTCATTGACCCAATGCATAATCTTTTACTTGGTATGTTATTGGCTGGACCAACAGAGTTACTTGTTAACAACTCAACAAAACAGGATTGGTCAAGACACATTTTTACAATATATGAATCCAGCTAAATGTTCTTCGCAAGAATAAGGAACTGCGACATTTTCATGACATTTTGGTCCAGGTCAATTACAGTCACTGTCAAGTTACTCCGATCTGATCTCATTCGACATGCAGCTTGATATTCCAGCTTTCCTGGGACGCCTACCTGCTATGATGGGCGAACCAGCAGGTGGTTCTCTGACTGCTGATCAATGGCTGATTGCCATGACAATAGTATGTCCCATCATTGTAAGTGCTTCTTCTCCTCTCTGATACAGCCATAATCGCTGACTCACTGTGAGATTCCTCAAATATGGGCTGAATATTGTCCAGATCCAGCTGAGGCTGGTGTTGTTCTGGCTCGTCGGATTGATAATATGGCCCAGGATATCAAGGAAAGAAAGGCAGCAGTGGCAGCAGCTTGCAAAGCAGCAGCTGAAGCATGGAAAGCCAAAGATCAGGCAGCGAAGCAAGCAGCACAGGTTCAAACAGCAACATGGCCTCAGTCCACTCAGAAACGCAAGAGGACGGAAAAAGCAATGGTACGCATCATAGGTCCTCAACTTCTCATGCTGCTACATCATCCCTCTTATCTAGTATGTTGCCGAGCCCATACCAGATGGTGATGACGAGATTCCCGATGCTGGTGCTATGGAAGGTACATCAGATGATGAATATGAGGGCAACCCATCACAGAAGCATACACAACTTGGAGAGAACGGCACCAGTCCTATCTCTGTGTTATGGTTTATTCATTTTTCTTCGTTTTACTCAGCCTGATTACACATATGCGATCCCTACGGATCAATTCTCACAGTACTATTATTAGCATAGCCACTTGTATTTAAGTAGAGCCTCAGCTGGTCTAAACCCCAGCTTCGGCTAAGGTTTAATCTACCTAACATCGAGCTCCGTCCTTCGTGACTATCTGTCCCATCGGCTTTCGTCGCCTTTGACTTGCTAGAGTATCTCCTACCGAAGTGCAAGTAGGGATCCTAGTACGATCTAAGTCGATTAAAGTTAGTGGCTAACATTTAGCCGAAGCTCGCTCAACGTGCTCAGCATCGTGCTGCCCACCGTTTTCCAAAAACTACCTCTCCCAGCTAGACCGAAAAGGTCGCTAGGCTGCACCTAGACGCTCTGTCGGTGCCCATCGATCAAACAGGATCTAGCCTGTACCCGTTACTCAACATTTACGCTTTCATCATCCTCCTGGTGGCCGATTGGATCCTTCCTCTCGTGCTGCCTGATCCCATCCTTACCGTCGTCCTTATCGTCCTCGTGATGACCCTTTTCATCCTAGCGACCATCCCGGCACCACTACTAGCAGCACTGCTCGTAGCGGCCTATGTTGGTCTCCTATGGATCTAGAAAACGAACCCCTTCGTCCTACTACTCCAGCTCGCCTCCCTGTTAACAATCGTATTGTTAATAGTGACGAGTACCTTTGAAACTGATGAAATCCTGTTGATGAACGGTTCCAACTATGAAACGGACCTCAGCCTCATTATCGCCCTTCTTATCGTGCTCACCATCCTCGCTGTTTACCAGCTCGTGCTGGAACTACTGCATGCCTGAACGCGGTCGTCCAACCCTACGAAGGATAGACCCAATCACGGATGCCCTGGTCCGACGCCATTCCCGCCATCTTCATGACTTTTATACTCTTTTTCTTGTCCATTATTTTGTACCGACTACACCGCTGCTTTCGACAGCAGAGACGAGTTCGCGCACAACTCCCATTCCATTACGTGCCCAGCACTCCCGCCTACCCTCCTCCAGTAATTCATATTCCCATGGCATCTCAGCAAACGATACGAGATGTCGAATCCAACGTCTCCGGGGGACCTGGAGGATCCCTTTACGGATCGTCGCGACCCAGCTCGCGATACTCAGGGTCGAGCACCGACTCCTACAGAAGCGCTACCGATGAGTCAGCAGACTCAGTCGATATCACAGATACCCGGGGCATATTCTTCGGCAGAGGAGACTCGCCCTTACCAGGTCTCTTCGACCAGTCTCCAGTCCAAAGCGAGTCAAGCACCAATGGAGCCTGAAGACAAAACACCAGGCATCTGGTCGAGGATGAAGAAAGCCCTGACACCAAGTTTGAAGGGGACGAGCTCACCGAGCTTGAAAGGATCAGACTCGAAGACCTCCTCAGCGACCTCTACCCGAATGATGAGGAAGATGCGACCTATAGCGGAGACAACTACAGTGGGAGGTCAGGAACCTGGTGGACAGACGCAGACTGGGGAGGGGAGACCAGGAGATACAGAGTTGCCCAGGAAGACGACTATGACACAGATTCCGGAGAGCTTGCCCTTGGGGCCTCCGCCGCGACTACCTCCCGTTCAGATGGGACAAGACCCGTTCTTCCTGGCTGGCCGACAGACAGAGGAACCCCAGTCGGTTGGCACCCCAGCACCAGTTGGGTCTACGCCGACCCAGGGGAAGAAGCTTCTGTGGCCAGAATCGTGCCCCCAAGGAGTCCTACTATCTCCGAGTACTCGGAGACCCCAGCGCCCCCTGCCGCCATCACCAGGGCTGAACTGACGGATCAGCAGCTCTGGGACGAGTTCCCAAGCTACAATGCGGAGGAGCTTGGAACGATTGCCAGGGCCGGAGACCTCGCCCCAATCCCCTTTACACCATCGGTTGCAGGACGAGCATTCGCTGACCCCGTCCCCGAAACCCAGCGTCCGTGGACGCACCTCTACCACATGCTCGTCGAGTCGCTCGACCTCCCTCGAGATGCCCGGGAGTCCCCAGAAATCCAGGCCCGAATGGACCGAGCAAGAGCGACAGACCTACGCACTCGACATGCCGAAATCACCGCCCTTGTCGGACCCAACGCCTTCCACGACCTTCCCCTCGAACCAGACGCCACCCACGCCGAGGTCGAGAACAGGCAGCGAGCAGCTGCCCTTCGATACTCTGGGCTGGCCAAGAGAGCTGGAACCGACCTCGAAGCCAGAAAAAGAGCCTGGCAGGCCTATGAGGCCGAGATCACTGACCCTGATTCAGACATCGGGCGTTGGAGAAGGAACAAGGAGATTGACCGACTCGCCCGAGAGAGGAAGGAAGCCAAGGATGCTGAGTCGGCCACCGAACAGCTCCCTCGAGTTCGAGGTGATGAAGGCGGTCCGGACGATTCTGGTGGATCCAGCAGCACCGCTCCCCACCATCTTTAATATCCTCCCATGGCACGGGTTATACGAAATCATGATGGAAGACATGGAGAAAGATTCGCAATGGCTTCTCATGGAAGCCGGAGAAGACTACCTACACACCAAATACATGGGGGACATATACCTCATGAAGAACATCCTCGAAGTAGAAACCTGGCACTGAGCGGCTGTCGTTTGGAATCGAGTACACCCCAGCAACACTCAGCCGGGGTGTGAAGCTTACAAGCAGCCTCAGCCGATGCCCAACCCGCTCGAAACAGAGCAGTTCTGGGTGGGTGCGGGACCAGAAGATCCCGACGACGGCTGGGATAACCCGGAAGCCGGACCCTCGAAGAAGGGGAAGGAGTCCACGGTACCAAAACAGCCGCCATCGGTACCACCGCCCAAGTACCCAGAAGGGTATCCCCCGCCGGGCAAAAACCCCAATCTACGCTTGCTGTCCCGACCGCCGAACGCCCCGGTTCCACCTGTCCCGCTGCCGCCCCCAGATCCTATTCCGCCATGGCAGTTGGCACCAGGAGCGGTGAATAACCCCTGGAACGACATAAAACCCAAGCTCATCACTCAGCCGGAGTACTTTACGGGGGTGTCGTCGGATATTACCAGGTTCCTCCATCACTGCGAGGTTTACTTCCAGGTATTCCCGATGTATTACACCATGAACGAACAAGGGCAGAACCCTTATCGCATCACGTTCGCGCAGGGGTACCTCAGAGGCGAAGCACAGCAGTGGTGGGTGGATCAATACTACCGCTATAGGGATCCCCAGGGCCACTGGCGGTTCCCCACATGGGACGAATTCTCGCATGACCTAACCGTACAGTTCTGAGAAGTAGCGGAGCTCACGATATGGAAGTCAGAGTGGAAGAAGGTGCGACAATCGGACTTCAAGTCCGCAGTGGAATTCTTCGCGAAGTTTGAGCATCTGGCCCACAAGTGCGAAGAGTTCAGAGATGAGAAGCAGATGTTCGAGACCATCGAAGCGGCGATAAGGCCGACCGTACATAAAACGGTTATGCATGGGGACAACGAGCGCCCCACAACCTATGCTCAGTGGAAGGCGTGGGTTCTTCGGATCGACACCAACTACCAATATGACATCGCCCAGGGGCTGGGCAGTAAGACCTCCCAGAGCCAAGGCAGCTCTGGTCGAGGCAATCAAAACCAATCGAAAGGAAGTGGGTCAGGTGGCGACAAGACGGATGCTACGGGGACGACCTATGGGGGCGCCGGTCAGCCGATGGAGATCGACAAGTTACGGTCCGACAAGCGGTGCTTCAAGTGCGGAAATACCGGGTGGAGCCAGGACCACAAATGCCCGACTGACAAGTCGAAGTGGCTTCCCGTCAAACTCCCACCTCGCAAAAAACCCAATGTCGCCTGACTCCGCCAGTTGCTCGCTGAAGCTGAAAAAGAAGAACTGGGAAAGGACACGAAGGTCGAAGAGGTCAAGGAGGAGAAGTCATCAAAAGACGAGCCGGCGTCGAAATAAGCGATTCGACGGCGTCGGCAAAGGACTTAGTTTCATCTGGTGCGCCCCACTGTAATAGTAGTCGGACTTATACTACGTATGTAGGTACCCCTTTCGAGCAATATACCAACATTTTCGCCGCTTTACCGGTAGAAGAAACTAAGGATAAGGAATCGCAACCCGCCAACGGCATAGGAGGGGATTTCTGCCGTCCTACGCAGTCAGCGAAGGACAATGAACCCCTAGGGGCCGGTCCACCTCAGACACCCCCACCTGACCGAACGGGGAAAGTTCTGGAGAACCCAGCAAGCGCCTCAGGTCAGGACAAGATGGACGCCAGACGTGGTGGTCATTGCC